TTACATAGTTAAATAATATAATAGATGTAATAAAATTATTTCAATTTGTGTGTTATGTTATTTTGAATGTTTATTACCTGTAATACCTGGAATGTTAGTTTGAATTACCTGGTAATTTATTCTGTGAAATATAAAAATTCCATTGTATTGACTAAAACTCAACTCGATTTCAGTTATTTTATATTCATAGAGGGTTCAAATTTATAGTTTTTTGGAATAAAGTATTTTCAATATTTAAACACTAAAAAAATAAAAAATTGTTAGCATAGAATAAGATTTGAAAATGTTTTTCAATTAGAGTAGTTGAGAAAAACATGACTAGGTTGGTAAAAATATAGTAAAAATCTAGGAGAGCACTCTTGTTTTTCCAAAAAAAGTTTTTTTATTCACCTAGCCTCAATGTGTAGCTTTTTGAATGTTTCCCGTTAACTGAGGCTCAGGGGGTCAAAAATTATAAGGATGGATCAAATTCAGTAAAAACCTGGCAAGCAATTTATAAAATCAGTTAAAAGTAGAATACAGTTAAATTATAGAAATAGATTTTTTATCACCTTAAATTTTAACCTAGCAGAATTATTGATTCCGGATTGGGAGGGTAGTTAAAGGGTAAAAAATTACTAGGATGCTAATATATTAGTACAAATCTAGCACAATACTATCGTATCTCATATTTCCGAAAAAATTTGCTTTGTATTTAACTAGCGTAAATGTTTAGATGGTAGAATTGTAGACAAAAATCTATTTGCCACAGAAAAGAGTAAAATTATAAAACAATACTTTTTCAATAGCAGAATTATTAACTTCCAACAAGGGTTAGACGAGGGATAAAAAATTACTAAGTTGGTATAGAATACTATAATATTTCAAAAATACGTTTTTTTCTAATTTCGCTGGTTCGAATATTGAGCTAGCAGACAAGTTTCCGAATAGGTTTATGGGAGCAAAATTATCAGGATGGTCAAAGTTTAGTAAAATCTTAACTAAACACCTTTTTATTTCAGTTATAAGTAGAGGAGAGTAAATTTGAAAAAAAAATTCTCCTTTAATTTTAATCTATCACAATTATTGACTTTTCACAAGGGGTAGTTAAGGGGTGAAAAATTGCTAGGGTGGTAATAAATTCGTAAAAATCTATCAAAACACTATGGTATGTCGTACATATTTATTTTAATTCTGCTAGTTGAAACCGTAAGCCAGCAAAATCGCTCCCCTTAAGGGTGGTTTGATGGTGAAATAATATTATGATGGTAATAAATTAGTGAAAAATGGGTGAAAAAACATGCCATCAACAAACAGTTTTTTTTTTAATTCTGCTAGCTTGAACCTTAAGCCAGCAGAATCGCTCCCCTTAACGTTGGTTTGGTGGTGAAAAATTATTAGGGTGGTAATAAATTAGTGAAAAATGGGTGAAAAAATATGCCATCAACAAAAAGTTTTTTTTTTTGAATTCTGCTAGCTTGAACCTTAAGCCAGCAGAATCGCTCCCCTTAAGGTTGGTTTGGTGGTGAAAAAATATTAAGGTGGTAATAAATTAGTGAAAAATGGGTGAAAAAACATGCCATCAACAAAAAGTTTTTTTTTTTTTGAATTCTGCTAGCTTGAACCTTAAGCCAGCAAAATCGCTCCCATTAAGGGTGGTTTGGAAGTGAAAAATTATTAGGGTGGTAATAAATTAGTGAAAAATGGGTAAAAAAATATGCTATAAACAAAAAGTTTTTTTTTAATTCTGCTAGCTTGAACCTTAAGCCAGCAAAATCGCTCCCATTAAAGGTGGTTTGGTGGTAAAAAATTATTAGGGTGGTAATAAATTAGTGAAAAATGGGTGAAAAAATATGCCATCAACAAAAAGTTTTTTTTTGAATTCTGCTAGCATGAACCTTAAGCCAGCAGAATCGCTCCCTTAAGGTTGGTTTGGTGGTGAAAAATTATTAGGGTGGTAATAAATTAGTGAAAAATGGGTGAAAAAATATGCCATCAACAAAAAGTTTTTTTTTTGAATTCTGCTAGCTTGAACCTTAAGCCAGCAGAATCGCTTCCCTTAACGTTGGTTTGGTGGTGAAAAATTATTAGGGTGGTAATAATTAGTGAAAAATGGGTGAAAAAATATGCCATCAACAAAAAGTTTTTTTTTTGAATTCTGCTAGCTTGAACCTTAAGCCAGCAGAATCGCTCCCATTAAGGGTGGTTTGGTGGTGAAAAATTATTAGAGTGGTAATAAATTAGTGAAAAATGGGTGAAAAAATATGCCATCAACAAAAAGTTTTTTTTTTGAATTCTGCTAGCTTGAACCTTAAGACAGCAGAATCGCTCCCCTTAAGGTTGGTTTGGTGGTGAAAAATTATTAGGGTGGTAATAAATTAGTGAAAAATGGGTGAAAAAATATTACGTAGGTTAAATTGGATTCCGCTCATGTGTCCCCGCTAGCTTAAGGGTCCTATGGCGCGCCACGAAATGCTACGTACTCTCTATGCTACTTTACGGCGTAGAAGAGTGGACGTTAACAGCGGCAACTATAAAGAAGTTAGCGGCTCTAGAAATGTGGCTGTATCGACGCATACTGAGAATACCTTGGACAGACAGAGTGACCAACACAGAGGTATTAAGACGAATGGGTAAAGAGGTGGAATTGTTAACAACTGTTAAAAGGAGGAAAGCGTCATACCTGGGCCATGTGTTCCGTAATGATAAGTACAGTCTGCTACAGCTTATCGTGGAAGGCAAGATTGAAGGTAGAAGAGGTTTGGGCAGAAAGAAGAAATCCTGGCTGAGAAACTTGAGAGAATGGTTTCAAATACCAGAAGCTGCGAACATAATTCATGCGGTACAAAACAGAGAAACCTATCGTATGATGGTCGCCAACCTTCGGTAGAAGACGGCACATAAAGAAAGAAAGAAAGTGACACAAATATTAAAAGTTTTTGAGCACATAATTTACAACCATTTATATTGGTACGACGTGAAAAAAAGTATGATATTCACCGAAATGTTTTTACAAGACTCTACATATAATCAGTGTCAAATTATTGTATATATTGAATACATCCTTTAAGTTTAATCTTCCACTAATGATACAGTTCGGTATACATCTGTGGTTTCAAAAATATTAAAACAAAGTTTCATATTATTAAGATTGAAAGATAATATTCTTTTTATATAAATGCATATAATATAACATTACATGAGTAACAATATCCCCATTGTTTGTAATTTTCGCACGATACATTTAATAAACTTTCATAAAGACATTCACTCGAAATAATAAATTGCCAATGTTGCCCGGCAGTCAGTATTATTGGCTAAAAGAGGAACTAAAACCGCGGGAAGGTGTGGAAATTTTTTATCCCACATTGTAATTGATTAAATAAGCAACAAGCTAATAAGCAATTTTTAGGGGTATTTTATGCAATATTAGAATGTATAATAATTTAAACTTCTTTTTCTAATAGTTTTGATTTCGTTACTAAAATTGGTCATCAGTAGATTACTATGGACTTTAAAATCGTAATCAACGAGGACAAAACCTATTAAAATTATGTGGACCCAGAAAGCCCAAAGTTTAGTGACACAAGTCGAAGACTCCAACGAAAGGCCACAGCAACTAGTCACAGAACCCAATATAATCTAGAATCAGAAGCCCACCCAAACCTTAAGACATACGTGACACTATTCCAGTGCCAAGAATACACAGGAAATTGTTAATGGGCAATTTTCTACAAGACATTATTTCTTTAAAAATATTTATATTGTTAGATCATTTGCTTATTGTAATTCTTCTACTTTTTCTACCACTTTCTACTTTAAAAGAGTAGTAAAAGTAAAAGAAGAACTAACCGACCCTATTGAAGCTGGCAATGGGGTAAGACAGGGAGATTCATTGAGTCCTCTATTGTTCAACTTGATTATGGATGAAATAATAAAAAAAATAAGAACTAAAAAAGGATACCAAAAGGGAAAAAAACAAGTTAAAATAATCTGCTAAGGAGACGACGCAATATTACTCTCTCAAAGGGAAGATGATTTACAACGTATGCTACACCAATTTAATATAACCGTCAGAAAATTTAGCTTGTTAATTTCCCCAAAAAAGACAAAATGCATGATTATAACAGCAAATAGGAAGACGATCAGTAGGAAGACCACAAAAATGATGGAACGACAACTTACTGAAGGCACATTGAAAAACAGAAGTACCTGGTGTAAACTACCCAAACGACGCTTGTAAGTATACTTGGAAAGACTCATACGATCTTCTACAAAACGCAGGAAAACTTTTTCATATAGCAAATGGCCGTAAATCCTTGGTTGCCATGGTTATTGCCATTGTTTGGATAACTCTAATATGACATCTAAAGAAGAAGATGGAAATTGCCGACGATCATATCAAAATATCAATATATTTTTCTATAGTAAGTAACCAACAACCAAGATACAAAAAGAAATCAGAGACATATCAAAACAAGGAGCTAAAGTAAAAATCAGATACCAGAAATTAGAAATAGATGTCAAAGTACTGAAATGGAATGCAAAAGAAAATAACCTCACAAAAATTGAAAACGCTCCAAAAAACTAGAAAAAGAAGAATGGATGGATAAAAAGGAAATAGACAATACAAACGGAGAGGAAAATAAGTCAAGCTATATTCAGAATAATAATGCTTCTGAAGCTATTAAATGTTTTTGAGATTGGGAGATCTTGCTCAAAATGTGTGCTGCCCAAAAGTTTACAGATTTAGAAATATTAAAAATGCGAATTCGTTAAGATTAGGCCAATTTTTGCAATGTTTTGAATGTACGTAACTTTGATAAACAGTTTTAACAGTTATTTTTAATACGATATCTGTCTTTCACAAATAGTTTCTACTGACTTTTAATGTAAAATAAATCGGGAAGTAGGAATTTAACAATTTGGAATTTTTCATTACGTTTTGTATGGTGTGTTCGACAAGTGAACACTCTGTATAAAAAATAAGAATGATAGATACCAAAAAATGTTCTACTTACCCAGAACAACACATTAACCCAACAGAAGGATACCCTGATACATGTATATCCACTCACAGCCATCTTTAAGTCGACGTTGAAACATCAGTCAGCGAATCTGGAAAGAAAACTGCCCGTTAATATTGTATCAAACGTTACCACTAATAAAAACAAACTAATTGCTAGAAAATTTACATACTGTATATATAAACGAGTAAAATTTTGCAACTGGACTAGTAATAATACCAAAAAAACTTGATAAACTTTCTGACCTCTAACGGGGTCTAGTACTTTAAATATTCGACTGGTTATTATTTTTGTGGTGTATATATGTATGTTATGTACTTGATTAGATAAATTTTATGACTAAATAATTGGGTTCATTCAATATATTGTAGTTTAGGGTAGTCTAAATAAAATAATAATCCAAATTAAAATATCACTAATGATAACTTTTTTATAATAGTAGATCTTTGGAACTTCTTCAACATTTCAAGAAAACGCTGTTTTAGGTTAAAGCTCTCTTTTTTTCATACTGTTCTTTAGGGAAGAACAATAAGAAGAACTGAAGGAGGAACAGACATATACAGGGTGTTTCAAAAAAAGGTAACCCCGTCTCTAGGGTAGGTAAAAAACTGAAAAATAAGTGGAGTTTGCTTAGTAAAAAATTTTTGTAACGCCATCCGTTTTCAAGATACAGGGCGTTGAAGAAAAAAAAATTTACGCATTTTTTACGATTTTGCCGAAACTACTGGCAACATTGTAATGAAATTTTATACGAATATGTCACCGGTGAATATGTTTTGGAAGCTGATACTTCCCATGAATTTCTTTTTATATCTGATTCTCATAGAGGGCGCTAGTTACACGGATCGTACTAAGTATTAGTTAATATAACTTTTTTAAGAGTATAATTATTAATCAAAATTTCAAGTAAACTTAAACATGATTCAATTTTACACGAAAAAGGTACTCTTGGTAAAACTCGATACTGTGTACCGTTTTCGGAATATTTTGATTTGAAAATTATGAAGTAATAATTGATGCTGGTATAAAAATAGTTAGTAATTAAACAAAACTCACAAGAAGAAAATTAAATTAATGACTAAGAACATAAAATAAAATTCAATTACAGTAAGTGTTCAAAATAACCTCCGTTTTCGCGAATACACAAGTCTATTCTTTTTTCTAAAGATTCCATTAACCTTCTAAACGGTAGGGGATCAGCTATGATATCATTAAATTGACGTTGAATTCTTTCTTCCAATTCTTGGCGTGAATTTACCTCTGTAGCATAGAATTTTCCCTTAATATACGACCAAACTGCGTAGTCTAAAGGGTTAAAATCGCATGACCGAGGAGGCCAATGAATCGGAACTTCTGCACCTCTACCAATCCATCGATTCGGAAAATGATTACTCAACCAATTACGGCACCTTCTATCAAAGTGTGGTGGAGCTCCATCGTGCATAAAAAATAAAGATCTTCGCTCGTTTAGCGAAGATCTTCTTCTAATATCTTCTATCTAAATTCTAAATCTTCTAATATCCCGAATAAGGCATTGTTTAAAAAATCAAGATACATATCACCATTTAAATTTCCAGGTAGAATATGATAACCTATTAATTTGTTACCTAAAGTTGCTGCCCAAACATTTACTTTAAATGAGTATTGGTAATGTGATACCCTTTTGACTCGTGGATTCTCATCACACCAGTAGTGTGCATTATGGGAGTTAATCATACCTTATCGCGTAAAGGTGGCCTCGTCCGTAAAAAGAATGCATTTTAAAAAATTTGGATTGTGGGCTGTCCTTTGTTGCAATGTTTCACAAAAATCCACTCTAACCGGTAGATCATCTGGCAAGAGCTCTTGGACTTGTCTGTAATGACAAGGATGTAATTGCTGTTCTTTCAGTATCCGCCAAGTACTTGAAGAAGAAGTATTTGTTTGTCTTGCTATATTCCCTACGCTAACTGTTGGATCTTGATCAAGTAAATTTAAAATATTATTTTCTTTATTAATTGTTCTTGTTGTTCTTGGTCTACCAGAATTTATTTTAGTTGGTCTCACATTCCCAACATTCGTTCAACGGTTCTAAATGTTTTTTTACTTGGTAAGTTTCTTCTAGGAAACTTTTCTGCATAACGTGTCACAGCTGCACTAGAACATCCTAAACTTTCGCCTAAGGTTAATAACATGTCAGTGTATTTAACATTTGAGTACATTTTGATTTGATTTTACAAAGAAAAAGGTTTCAAAACTCTAATTATTGTTGATTTATCGTCATAATAATCAATAAATGTCAGATTTCCATGGCACACTTGGAGAAAATAGAGGTATACCTATTAGAACTTTATCATTACTACCAGCATCAATTATTACTTCATAATTTTCAAATCAAAATCTTCCGAAAACGGTACACAGTATCGAGTTTTACCAAGAGTACCTTTTTCGTGTAAAATTGAATGATGTTTAAGTTTACTTAAAATTTTTATTAATAATTATACTCTTAAAAAAGTTAATTGAATAATACTTAGTACGATCCGTGTAACTAGCGCCCTCTATGAGAATCAGATATAAAAACAAATTCATGGGATGTATCAGCTTCCAAAACATATTCGTATAAAATTTTATTACAATGTTGCCAGTAGTTTCGCCGAAATCGTAAAAAATGCATGTATCTTCAAAACTGATGGCATTAGAAACATTTTTTACTAAGCAAACCCCAATTATTTTTCAGTTTTTTACCTACCCTAGAGACGGGATTACCTTTTTTTAAACACCCTGTATATGCCTGTTCATCATTCGGGTTATTCTTCGGTTTCTCGATCTGACAGATTCTCTGACCATCGATTTCTAAAAATGGTCTAAAGAACCAAGAATACCTATTGAATTTAAAAATTGTAATTATGCAGAATTCAAGGGTTCAAAAGTGATACCGTCTTCTGAAGATCCAGTAAGTTTCGTTAATGTCTTTTTTCAAATGACACCTTACTACAATACATTGTAGAACAGTCAAACTTATATGCTGTTCAAGCCAGCACAAATTTAGATTTGTCTTTCAAAGTATTGAAAGCTTCCCTAGGAATTTTAATTCTAATGGCATTTAATAGTTGACCTTTTATTAAAAAATACTGGTCCGCAGATCCAAATTTTTGTAATGAAAAGATTACTAATATTTTTCCTCTAAACAGATTTCTTAAAATATTAAGATATACTCATTTGAATGATAACCAACAAATGCCAGCCAGGGGAACTCGGGAATTTGACAAGCTGTACAAAGTGAGACCTCTTATTCAAAAATAAAAAAAATGCTTTATGGAATCTTTTTCTCAGAGCATAAATATTTCAATTGTTCAAAGTATAGTTGCCTTTAAAGGAAGGAATACTTTGAAAGAGTACATGCCAACCCAGAGGGGTATAAAAATTGTATAAAAACATCATGTGTTGAAACAGGTTACCTCATCAATTTTGAGGTATATCAAGGTAGAGAACCTGAACGGACTAGCAAATATACTCTAGAAGAAAGAGTTATACTGACTTTAATGAAAGTGTTGGAAAAAAAGGATACTGCTTCTGCTTTGACAATTTTTTTTACCACATTTCCTCTTATGGATGAAATTATCAGAACTAGATCATTTTGGTTGTGGAACAGTAAAACAAACACGTAAATATTTTCCAAAAGCACATTTAGTAAATGACAGAAAAATAAAAGTGAGTGAAATTGATGAAGTTGTCTGCAATATTACTATAAGTAAGTGGAAGGATCGTGGCTCACTCTAATCTGTGACCGTATGCAGGAATATGCATAATCATGCAGAAACGGGTTTTGTTTTGAGAACCTCAAAAACTGGAGAACGAGAAAACATCCCCTGTCCTCAAGCCATTGTAGACTACAATATGTATATGAGCGGTGTTGATCGGTTTGACCAACGAATGCATACTCAGTAGCTTGGAAAAGTACGATGGTGGATGAAGCTATCTTTTTTGACGCATCCATAGTAAATTCTTACATATTTTATAAAAAATCCCTTAGGCAAAGTAACAGTAGAAAAAAAGCACTATCTCACCTTGAATGTAGATCCAAATTGGCTACCAGTCATATATAAGATTGTTCTGTGAGAAAAAAAATTGGGAGGCCATTAAACATGTTGGTTGGAGTTTTTTTTCACAATTTTGGTTATTTGCCGCAGACAACCACGCGAAGACGATGCCAGCACTGCTCAAAAACGGGATTACAGAGACGCAGTGATATAGAGTGCGTAGAGTGTAAAGTGGTTTTGTGCTTGGATTGTTTTAAACCATATTATTCAAGTGCCTGAACTATTATTTTTATTATTATATTTTTGTTTGTTTATTACAATATTGTGCAGTATTTTTGCATTATTTAAAGTCCTATACCTATTACTGATACACTTTTTATCATTTGGTACACCCTATGTAATAGAGAAACTAGCATGAAAATTATTCCTTGATTAAACTCTGGGACAACGGTTGACCAGCATTTTTTCATAGAAAACCAAAAATGTATTCAAAATCTAGTAACTGATGTACTAACTATAGTATTCGAAACTATTATCTGAAAAACCGGCAATTTCAAAACATGGTAACATTAAATAATTGTATATTTTTTAATTCGCTAAATACAGGCGTCAATTTTCTAAACTAAGTATCAATATATTGGGTTTTATATGTAATTTCGTGACGAAAATTATACATAATTCAAAATTTCCCCCTGTATTATTAATAATAGGCCCTACATAATATAGTTTGTTAAAATAAGGTCGTTAAAAAGATTTTAAAAACATAAAAATATACAAGGTGTTCCATTAAAAAAACTTTTGGACTAGGCCAGGCTTGCATGAGTCACCATGTACATTTCAATTTTAGATTTAGATTTTAGAGATGTCTCTAATAGCATCTTTATCAACGTCTGTTTTGATTTGCAATTCTTAGAAGGCACATATTAAAGCAGAAATCTGAATTTGGTTTCGAAAATCAGTTAACGGATTTATTTATCAGATGTCGCTATTGCGTCCAGATCGAAGCCATTTTATAGTTGTGAATAGCTGCTCTGCACAGACGCACTATACATGAAATCAAATCTTAACTGTC